AAGTAATATGGTTATCGCTTCTTTATGGCGTTGTTGTCATCCTTTTGGCCTATGTCTTATTATTATGTATGCGTATCCAAATTTTTTTTTCTATGTATACTATGTATGTATTTACAAAAAATAGTAATGTATTTAAGTATTTCCATCACTTGTCTAGTAACCATAACGCAAGCTCTACTTAGCTTGAGACTGAATGACAGTGTGAGATGTCGAAGGTTATTATTATTATACTGTTCTTATATTTTTATATAGTTTAGTTAGCTAACGTTCTTGTGGTTTGTAAGTCTTAAGTTATTTACAATTAATCATCTTTATATACTTTGTTATATTTAATTAAAACAAATGAACTCATTAATTGTTTATTCCAAGCGATCACATTATTTTTATTGTGCCACGCGTGACTTCTGAATTTGGCGCCAGTCGCGTCTATACACAGATCTCTAGTTAACCACAATTTTTAATATAAGTACTCAGTGCCAGGCCGGTGTCGAATATACCTAATTACTATTTGAAAATACTTTCCAAGTGGAAAATTGTAATTGGTATATTATTAAAGGCAAAATAATAATTCATATACATTTTTTGACACTCATCATATTATCCACACACATCATATCGGTAAGGATATCCTTTGGAAAGTTTACACTCTATCTTGTGGAGATAAAGTCGCTTCTATATGCTTCAATTCTTGTCCCTGACCAATGAAAAAAAGAAATAATCTTGACAACAAATTGGCAGAGCAGCAATATTATGTAGGTGCACAAATTAGTTAGATGTATACAAATATGTGACTATTTTCATTTAAAAAGTGTCTGCGAATATAATTCATATGAAATTATATGAAGTATTGTACTTCATATAAATTATGTTCGTACTAGACAGGTATATGAACTATTGTTTTTCGACCTAGAAATGTTGTATTCCTTTTAGATGTTTTGTCATTTTATTAAGAATCACGACGTAGAGGAAAATAATTAATTTGTAGGTACAATATTACTTTAAAAGGAAAACATATGTAGTTGATCAGTCATGTAATTAGCATTATGGATCAGTGACAAAACAAAAATGGAAGCATGACGTGTATATGAGACGAATAATAAAAATGGATGAATAAAGAACGTATTTATAATTTAAACTGTTATTAACTATTTATAAAGCAACTGTTAAGATTTATCGCGAAAATGATGGATAGAAGAAAATAATAATTACACACAGAGAACCCGATCATAAGACGTAGCAGTTTTGGTATTGGAAATCTTCATTACATTAATTCTATTCTTAACTGAGCTTAGGTTGTTTTTATTAGTTGCTATTTTTAATAATATTTTTAACTATCTTCAATTGAGAATATCAAAAACTTAACAGTTGTTACGTTTCCTTTTTTTTTATAATGTTATTGATAAATCGCCAAACAGTCTTCTGTTTAAGTAATACTCTAGGGTGTACTAAGTTTTATTTAACATGGTGTTATACCATAGTTTGGGTAGTTTAAAAACTCAAAACATATAAATTAAATTGGACGGAAAAATTTGAATGAGTGCTTATTCATTCACAGTTCACCTTATACATTTTTACTCTGTTTCAACGTTTGTAACGGCGTCGTAAAAAGTTTGATCAGTTCCTTATTTATTCTACATTACTCATTTCATTATACTTGTTTGTCCATTGGTCTGTGAATTAAAGGTCAGACAATGACCTCACTCATACGGTTACGTGCATGGAGAATGTTGAGATGATCGGCCTGCGCCCGCGCAATGGCTGCCAATTCCGTGAATATTGTGCAGTATGATTCATAGGATCCGGCTTATCTTCTTCGCATATCCCATAGAGCATAGACTAAGTTACTTATAGAAAAGGCAACTCGTTATGAAATATACTGGCTGAAAGAAAGTGTATTTTTACATAATGGTAATTTTACCTTTAGGTACTGTTACTCCAAAGACGATAAATAATATTATGATACATTTCTATAATTAATAGCCTGATATGATTATCTTATTATTATTGAAATTAGATAGGTAAATACAGTCACTTTGAAGAATATGTAAACAATTTTGTAATTCATGTCATATTATTGTATTGGACAATAATGGTATTGTGCTTGCAACCACAGGCAATACGCAAGCAGCACACGTTGAATATGGGGTAAAGATAAAGGGAGGTCAGTTAGCCGATTGTGGCGAATTTACGACGAGTCAACCACGATGGTTTCGTAGAGACATGGGCAATTATAACAAACTTAATAGTAACACTGATTCCTAGGAATAGTCATGAGGATTTTTTACTGACATTATTTATATACGTTATATATGTACTAGCTTTTGGCCGCAGCTTCGCTCGCGTTAATTTATCCCCTTAGGGGTGGAATTTATCAAAATCCTTTCTTAGCGGATCCCTACGTAATAACATGCCAAATTTCAGCCCGATCCATCCAGTGGTTTGGGCTGTGCGTTGATAGATCGCTATGTCAGTCACGTTTGAGTTATATATATTTAGATTATTGTCTAGTTAACAAAAATACATTTTATATAGTTTTATCATGTTCTTCTGGTTAAGAAAATTAAACGAAAAATACAAAATACTTCTACAGTTAAAATAGGTTTTTTATATATTTGACTTTTTATGAATAAGAATGGTAGGTTTTGTGCACCGGACATATGTTATGGCTTTAATAATTATTAGATATTACCTTTATAATCATACACTTTGCTGACGTCATCCTTGAATCACGTACTCTGTACGTAGGTATTAAATTAATAGAATAGAATATAACACAATTGTAATATGAATTTATGATTCAAATTCAATTAATTTATTTTGGATGATTATGTCGTGTAGTGTTCTCGGTCAGTGTTATGTCAAACACGTTGCTGTTAAGACGCGTTTGTAATGCGCGGGAAAGTTTGTGAATTGTTGTAAAGTATATATAGAGTTATATACTTAATTTGTTGTTAAAAGTGGCGGAATTTTGAATGTTAGATATTGTGATCATGTGCAATTGTAAAGGATCTTATTATTATGTGCGCGTCACTGGACATGATGTGTCACAAAAAGTGGTTGGTATACCTAATTGTAATTTAATATGTATTATAAATTTATACATTTATAATATTAGTCATAGATTTTTAAATAATAAGTATTGAATACTTTTAATTAATGATTAATTAAATGAATGAATAGTATATATTATAGTTTTTGTTATTATTATATTTACGTACAGTAATTACAAAAAATATAAATTTATGTTATCGAGAATGTAGTAGGTATGTAAGAAAAGTTAGTTCGTTGAACCTAAGTACTGTTGTGCTATAATAGTGTAGATATTTATTTTAAAAAGGTGATAAATTTGAGAATCTGGCTTAAATGTTGCACAAGCTATTTTAAATATATGTATAGAGAATAGACAGATAAAACTCAAATAATAATAAAAAAAAATAATGGTATAAAATCTTAGATACGTTATTTCTACTCAGCTAAGAATAATTTTTAATGTCCTACACATTATTAAACTATTTTTATTTTTGTCGGTCATTTGAAGGTAATTTTGCGTAGGTAATCTATACATCGATTCGTATAAATAAAATTGGAGTGTCTGTTTGTAATATTGAAATAACGGTGTTTTACCACATGCATATGAATGCATATAAATACGGTACATATACCAAAATAACGTTTTTTACAATTTTTTTCTGTCTGTCTGTTTATTCCGGCTAATCACTGAAATGGCTGAACCGATTTTGACGGGATTTTTATTGGAAGGTAGCTGATGTAATAAGGAATAACTTGGTTACTTTTATTTTAGAAAATATATTTTATTTTAGAGAAATAAAGCTAACTTCCACGCGGAAGAAGTCGCGGGTACAGGTAGGAAATAATATAAGTGATCTAACGAAGCATAAATTCTATATTTTTGGCTCTATGCTTTGTCGGAAACGGACTAGGGCTGCATCAATAACTGGTGTCGCCCACAGTAATATTACAAGCAATGCCGTACTTACCTACCTACGTTGCACAATGCAATCCATCATTAGCGCCTGATTTAGGACCCATTCCGCCTCCGGTGCAGCTGCCACGCTGCAACATATGCACCGCAAAAATAAATGCTAGTGTCGAATTCTAATAAGGACAACATACTTCATACTCAACATTATAAATGGTGCTATTTCGAACTCGTCTTTTAATAGTAGGTTTATAACTTTTGTTTGAAAGAACAACAGTCCCGTTTTTTTCGACTCAATAAAATAATAATTATTACTCTAGATGATCCACACAGCGCTATCTAAACCCATGCTAAGCAGATCTTGTTTTCTAGACAACTGACTGAAAAATTATTTTAGTTATTCAACTATTTATTTATTTAAATACATTTATTTTACATTTGGATACATGATATACATAGAATTACTGAGACCAATAAAAACATCATACGTGAACAAATGTTTGCATATGGAAAGAATCGAACCTCCCACTATCAAAATCAAGCGTTGTGCTAAATCACCGAGGTCGTTAATGTTTAAAGTTAAATTTATTTTTTGTTAACATTATCTATATCTATATGATATTATGTTTTACGCGTTAAATACTTATTTGTTTATATATTGTAAACAATAAATTTTTCTCTACACAATTAGATACAACAGGAACTAAAAAGACTTATCTACGGAATTAATCTTTTTCAATACCAGGCATATTGATTTAAACAAACAAGCAACAACAGATAGTCATGAGACATTTAAATTCTTCAACTGGAAAATTTCTAGAAGATTATAGTAGTCTAAATAAACTAGGTATAATAGCTGAATTGAGAACTTCCTTCTATAAAAAAAAAAGTTCATATGGTAACTACATACTACAATATTCCTACTAAGTACTTTACTAATTTTAAATTTAGAACTCCCTTTCTATTAATAAAATCCCATAGTAGATATCTATGTACAATAATATTTCTACTAATTTATTATTTTCCAATAAAATCTAACAAATTGCTTTTATTGTTGCAGTGCATGGCGCGAGCGTTGTATGACAATATAGCCGAGTCGCCCGACGAGCTGGCCTTCCGTCGTGGCGACCTCCTCACAGTATTGGAGCAAAATACAGGCGGTAGCGAGGGCTGGTGGCTGTGCTCACTTAGAGGCAGACAGGTATATATGAGAAACAATCCGTTTAATTTATTTATGTATAACTGGAGTGGTAAACAAGAGGGCTTATTAAGACAGTGGCAACATTCTAGATAAGAACTGCACTACAAACATCACGTCGTCACATGGCGTTTATAGTGTCTTTAATGCGTTCTTGTACTTGATAATTTTTCTGACTTAACTCTTTAAAGAGAAAAGCAGCTTACAAAGGAAAATGCAGGACATCATAAATAGATATGACAGATGTACCCCTTTAGATCACTTTGTACAAAGCCTTCGTTGGCTAACAATTTAGATAAATTCTTAGGTGTCGCTATCGAACTTGTATAATAATAATTTTTATTTTTACGTATATTTAGAATGCTACTGATAAAACTGGCTTAGCGTCACATTAATAATTATATACACCTAGATAATTCGATAATGCAAATTCCAAAGTTCGTACCTTATTTTCATTTCAATACAATCTTTCTTTAAACGTTAAACAGTGCACGTAGGACATTAATGCGTTCTTAATTACGCGAAAATAAAACGCAATAAATGACTGATGTTGGTAGCAATTCACAGCCGGAAAACATTTGAAATTACAGTCCGGTAACGAAATAGAAATGTAAAGAAAAACACAGAAAATTACTAGTCGTGGCATTTCAGAGTTCTATATATAGGTATTTATTGTAATAACCATAAAGTACAAAAGGTCAATTAAGATCCCGAGTAGGCCGATGACTCGAGCGTTTAGCTAGCAAAACAATCACGGAACGTTTCTTTTTTATTGTATTGCTATATGTAAATACTAGCCGAGCCGGCATTTAGCCATACACTTTTTCTGAATGGGTCACCAATATTATCTGGTTGTATAAAAAGGATGACCTTATGACTTATTCTCAGATCTACCAAATATGCGACAATATTTCATAAAAATTGGTCGAATTGCTTCGGAGGATGGATAAACACTGTGACACGAGATTATTATATATTTTATTGCGTTTATAAATTAATGACCATAAAGGCAGTCAGGGCATTTTGAGTATACAGACGAGAAATCCAGAACGATTGTATGCAGTATATCATAATATTTTACTGTAAGTGGGCCAGGATAGAAGTACAATTATGTGTTGGATGAATATGTCGGAACTCGTTTTCTGAATTGGATTTGCTTCATAAGATACTCATAAATAAAATATTTAACTACTTCTGCCTGTGGGATGCTATAAAAAGCCTAGCCTAGCCTTATTAGGAATGAACTAGATGTTTAAAAACACCTCGCTCCTTACTAAGCCTGCGACTTTGCGTATAATAAATAATTCGAATAGCGTTATTTAAAAATTGAATTATATTGAGCAAAAATTTAGAAATTATTTCGTACTTAAAAATTATCGTACTTAATGATTAATTCGGCATACAGACTTTCATTTTCCATGCCCATCACAAAGGTCCAATTTATCTCAATACCAAATGTCATCAAAACTGCTTAGGTCATTAAAAGCTAAGAATAGTTAGTTCGATACTTATGATGGTATGATGAATTAAAATAACGATTATAACTGATTTGATTTGTTATTTACAGGGAATATGTCCGGGAAACAGATTAAAGGTGGTGGCAGGCGTGTTCGATGCCACCGCAGCGATGCAGAGGAGGCGCTCGCGTGCCCCCGCGCCTGTAGCGCACCAACCATTACCCACACAACAGTCACCAGCATTTACTAAAGTATGTGTTACATTCTCTATGTATCTCCATAAGATTGTGAACTCTGTCAATTATAATCTATTTCGCGAGATTATGACTGTCGATAAATTATGAACTGCGCTATACTTACAATACAACGTATTAATTTTCGGTATTTCACAAAATTATCACTATAATAATTTTACATTATTTATAATATACAATCTCACAAGATAGATTATTAATTAACTGAATTAACAATCTTACGATAACATATGCAATGTTTATTATAGTGTGTCCAAAGATTATGGATCGCCTAATATTAAGCAGTCTCTCTAGTATCCCCTTCTGAGTATGTTCTCTTCCATGTCATAACAGATATCATCATACTTCTGTTGTTTTACATAATTATTATGATTTTTTTCATATAACAAAGTTATGTAATGAGTGAGCAATCAAATGATCAACTGTGTTTATAAACAATACTATATTACAGATCGAGGAATGTTCGCACTATGACGTTCCACGCGCCCCTATGCCGGTACAACGTATTGTGATGTATGATTGTCCACGAGCACAAACGGACTGGTACGACGCGCCTAGGGCTCCAAGACCGGCTAGCGCGGATTCCGCTTGCAGCGGGACCGGCTCACTCACTTCCGCTACATCAAGCGCATCCGCCAACAGCGGCAGCTCTATACATTCGGCGGCGTCCGCCTCAAGCACATATGATGTGCCGCGGTCGCGGGCCTTACCCTTACCCTGTGATGCTGCTTTGGAAGCGTTGGAGAGATTACAGGTGTGGTTGTCAATCTATATGCTAGCTCCTAGATAATTTTAATACGTCCTGTACCTACTTTTTATATATTCGGGATAACTTTTGGATAATTTCTACAGTAGGTAGGTATAGAAATGACAATCTTTTCAATAAGACATGTATGTTAAATTTTTTTTCTTTAAAATAAGTAGGTACGTGTAAAAAATAATAGCTATTGCCATATTTATTAGTTTAACCTTCAAAAACATTAGATGCACAAACATTTTGTTTTGAACTGTGTAACATATAATGTTTAATGCAGAAGCTCGTTTACGATTTAGGCTACTCATATACAGTCGGTTAGTTGTCAGGTTAGTTTGACTAACGTCACCCCTAAAGAGGGGAGGGCGTACCAAAGAATACGCCAATCGTTTATCAGGTAGTCGTATTCGAGCAACCCGGCGACTAACCGAGTGTATATCAGCCGGCCTAACGATGTGTGGTGTTATAGGAAGAGGCGTCGGCGGCGGTGTCGCGGTTGCTATCGTACGTGTGCCCGGGCTGGCGGCGGCGCGGCGCGCTGCGGCCGCGAGTGCTGGACGTGCGCGTGGCGGGCGCGCGCCTTCGGGCTGCGCTGCATGACCTCGCCGTCTTCGCGGACGCCACGCTGGCCAACGCACACGATGCGCAGGACAAAGGTACCTACCGACAACTATTGCCATATATATTAGGGTATATCATCGATTTATTCATAACTATCTACGCGCACCGACTTCTCACGGGTGTACATGTATTATATATATAAACCATCCTTTTTGAATTTCTCTTATCTGTTGCTAAAAACTGCAATAAAATCTGTTGCGTAGTTTAAAAGATCTAAGCGAACAGACAGCGGAAACGACTTCTTTTTATACTTTTAAAGATATGTTTGGTCAGAATTGTTAGTAATGTGAGTAAATATTCTCATTGCTACCAATATATATACTATATCATGTTGTCCTTCACGCGGTTCGCCCTGGAACAAATCGTAATAAATTATGTTAGTAACAGTTATCCCGTCGTGGAGAATTCACCAGGAAATTTAATCAAGATCCACTGTCAAGTTAGCGCTCTACATTTAATACTTATAGCAACTATCAATGTCCAGGTATCGCAGTAAAGCTACGGCCGCTGGTAAAGGCGTTAAAAGACGCCGAACGTATTACACACGAAGCGACGAGCGCACTAGACGCCGGAGACTGGGCGCCCGAGCGACTGGAGCGTGATCGTGAACCAACGGACGGCACGCTTGACGCACTCGATCAACTCGTCGCTTGCGCTCGCTCGCTTACCGAGGACGTCAGACGGGCGGCTTCTTTCATAAACGGCAATGCATCGCTATTATTCAGGTAAGGAGCTTTACAAGCTTTAAATACTACATCAAAATTAACTGCAAGATCGGATTCCTGGATTGGCTCGTGTGTAAATCAGGGTCAGGTTGTTATAGTGTGCCCGGTTTTATCCCCCCACTATTGCACCGATATTGTCACAGATTTTGAGGACTGTGCATATTCCGATGGCTTCTGACTGGGTGAGATATGAGATGAGGAGTGCAATGGTCATTCTCAGGTCAGTCAGTATTAGTTCTACAAATTGGCTAGCAACTACAGCTTAGGTTATTCTGCTTTTTCGATAAATGCGTCATTATTAGTTTAGGTCCTTTTTATACATGCTTACTTGTTTTTACGCTTTTTATGTATGCAATATTATATAAGCGCTTTTTGAGCAGTAGTTTTCTCGCTTCAATATTTTTTACTTAAAACATCTAGTTGTTGAAGTTTCCTTTTAAGTATAAGAATGTCTATGCCAGGAGACTTGCACTCTTCAATAGATCAGATAAGTGTTATAACTATGTTAATCTGATTAGGAAACGAGTATTAACATCCAGTATAGCCTATGTCCATAGTTGTTTTACTGAAAACAACTATGGACAAATTATCCAATTAAGTCCTTATAGACATACAATAACTAGTCAGGTGTCCGCGGAAGAAGAAATTGTAACTGTTTATGGAAGCATCTTTCAAATAATGTTTTATATGTTCAATTTATAGACGATCCGCGACGGTGCCAGAACACGAATGGACGGAGGAGTATGACTATGTACGGCTCGAATCACGGACTGCTGTTGGTAAACGCAACGCCGAGATCCGCGCGGCGTTACCTGACAAATTGAGGGCTTCCTTTGATGCTCTGCTGCGGGACGCTGACCTTGCTGGCGAGGTGAGTTCTCTAAATTTATACTAATGTAAAACCAGATGTCTAACAAATGTCTCACCTATATCAGTTAAGAAGCAGCTTGCTTTGTAACTGTTTCGGTTGTAATAAAACATGTGGTATTGAAATTATAAGGTATAACTTAGTCCCCCCAAATAGCTGCCTTTATACGACACATTCTTTAGCGCGGGGAAGCTAGGTTCGCGCGCCTATCAAGTCATCTCTATAATTATAGCTATACTTTATAGTCAGATGTCCTTCATTTTGCAATAATAATTAATTATTACAAAATGCTAAAGTACCTCACGATTGAAGTACGCGGGAATGCGCGAGCTAGAACAGTTTAATGTGGATGCGGATTCTCTTTGTCTACATTTTCATACACATTTCTGCGTGAAAGCCGATTCCCGCCTTAAAGACCGTACGTATAATGGCAGTTAAGGGCAACATATAAGGGGTACAACGGAGAGGGGGTCGGTTGCCACAACTATGAGGTTGGTTGGCATTTGAATGACATAATTGAGTAAAGGCAGCTAATAGGCAACGTATGAAAGATGCAATGGGAAGAGGGACGGTTACCATAACTATGAGGTGGGTTAGCATTTGAATGACATAAATGTTGCAGGTGAGCGCCGTAGCGGCGGCGACGCGGCTGCCAGCAGACGACCGCGCGCTGGCCGCGTTCTACGCGGCGCAAGCGGCCACGTACGGCGCGCACCTCGCCACCGCCGTCGAAGCCTTCCTCCGCACTGTTGAGATGGGGCAGCCTCCCGACGTGTTCCTAGCGCATGGCAAGTTCGTGGTACTGAGTGCGCATCGCATCGTGCACGTTGGCGACACTGTTCACAGGTACCTTATTAATCCGTATTTAAGGTTTTTGTAAATTTGATGTAGTCGGTAAATAAATTAAATTATTCGTCGGTCAATTCCCGTGCCATATTTATAAGTCACTGTTTTTTTTAGTCTGTTAAATGTGTTTTTATGTTACATTATTTACCAGTTGTATCCGTATCACTGCCCTTGTAGATAGATTACAGTCTCATAAGTTCTACATTAGTGAGATGTTACTCACTTCTAATGTATTTTATTGTGAGCGAAAGAATTTTTAAAATGAGGCGAGTATTTATTATGCAAATCTATCCATTATGAATAATAAATAAAATCTATGTTTTTCTAAAATATAGTAGAAAACCGATTACGTAAAATATACCTACTGAATAATTTCCACTTATTTCTCTAAATATCCTACGTAAGACAGCATCAGTCGATTCGATCTTAAACTTATCGACTTGCCTCTTGACGACGGATACACTTACGATTTTATTACATTGTGTTATCTGTAACTAATATTAAGCTTTGATCTATAGGTATGTATATATGTTATGTCTATAGAATTTGGAATAGAACTCAAATATTGTCATTTTATTGTTTACTACGTTAACCCAGCTATATCTACTACTTGACCGAGTTTATACCAGATATCTTCAAATACAATGTTATTTACAGGATAAGCGACGTTATCAAAAATTTACGTGTATGAATTCGTGTTATTTTGAAAATTTTCTTAAACTAAAGTGTTATAACAATTTATAATTTCACTATGCCTCACTCATACTTAACAGCATCATTTCTACCCTCAGGAGCGCGCAGCACGCTGCTCTAAAAACGAAAGCGCTTAGGTGTTCCGACACGCTATCGGACGCGTTAGCGACGACCGTAGCCAAAACTAAGGTCGCCGCGCAGAAGTTCCCGTGCGCAAGTGCGGTCGCCGAGATGGCGGAATCCGCGCGGACGTTGGCTGCGCGTGCGCAGGAACTGCGGCGCGTGTTGGTGCGCGCGGCCGACCCCCCGCTGCCCCCCGCCTCGCCCCTCACGCCCGCCACCGCCGTGCCGCCCTCCGCGCCCACCACGCCCCTCACGCCCCTCACACCCCACAACTCGGGGACGCCCTCGCTAGCCACCCTTCAAATATAAGGTCTGGAAACGAGCGTCCCAGCGACGCGGTGGAAACCACCACTACATCTCGCGAGTACTCGTCGCTACGGCGACGGTAATCTTAGAAGCAACGTTTACACGTGTAGGAGTGATGCGCTGATGAGATCGGCGCCGGGAGTAGAAGCTGCTCGACAACGACTGTCGTGCCGGGTCTTCCTCGCACGCCGCCGAGGTACGAAACCGAGGGGCGAGCACCGTTACCAAAGAAATTTGACTATTATACGACGTACAATACGACGTAGACTGCCTACGTAAGACGAGCTAATACAAGTTTCTATTTAGATGTTACCTATAAATATATCTACGGTATAAAACGAAGGCTGCCATAATTTAGAAATCTTCATTTTTTGAAACGAAGTTCGCAATAGACTAGGGAGTTTTTGATCACTGGATGCTCATTTGCCGTAGTGAGTTGAGTTGTCCGTCCAGTTTTATACAATTTTGCAACAATGTCGTAAATATTTCGTAGAACGTGTAGTGTATGTGAATTTATACACGCGACTTTATTTTGTCGTGGAATAAGTAGTTTTTTTTTAATTTTACATCGTCTAATTGATTGTCTCGATACGCTGAGAGACGAATGTCATTACTTACACCTATTTTCTATAGTACTTAGTATCATTTATTGCATTTTATAAGTAATGTATTAAACTGCTTATACATTCTCGTATGGGTATTGTTTAGAAGAATGCCTAAATACTGGCACTTACAAGAAAAGTATCGGTACTAACAGTTTTATGAATATAATTCATATCGACATGTTCCTTGTCTGATTAAATGCTCAAAAAATAATATCTTAGATAATTTATTGGGACACAACAATCACTATTCATATATAGCCAGAGCCATTTTATATGTTAATTTACTGGAACTTTGTATAGCATATGACGATATTTAATCGTTACTACGAATTAGTAGTAAAGAAAAAAATATTTTGGCTTGATGAATATTAAAGAGATTAAATGGTGCATGAAATATTTTTTAACAATGAAATCAATATAATACCTATTTAAGAGTATAAATAGTCTGTTAACAAATATAATAATAAGACAGCCATTACATTTGTAAGTTTCACTTACGTAAGTTTGTGACTAAAAGTTATGAAATTCACTTACGTTAAATTTGTATGCAAAGAATTATGATAAGTCTTTACAAACGTATACATTTGTAAATTTATTGTAAGTTGATTACGTAAGCTGCTTAGTGAGCAAAACTGACAGATGTAAAGGCAGCCTAACAGAAATTGGTGTAACGAAACGAACATGACTGACCCGACAAATAGCAATATGTGCTCAATTACTTATACGTTAAAGCTGATCATCACTTATATAATACTTATTGTGGCTTGTCATTACTTACTGTATGTATGTACGTACCTACATTTTGTACTTTATACAATATAAGTAGATAGATGTAGGTTACTTAGATATTATATCAGTGTAAAAAGTATGTTGTAAATTAGTAATGTGTAATATATTCATAAATGTCGTAGTAGTTTAGTTAGGTATAGACGAAATTGTACAAATAGTTGAATAATGATTTTAATATTAAAATGTAATTTAATCATCTTGTAAAACGCAATCAATTAAAATATACAAATTTTCGTATTTAAAATCTGTTTAATTTATTTTGCTCAAAAGATGCCTCTTGGAAAGAAATGGGAGGGCCCAGCAATGGGAGAACATAAGTGGACAATAAATAAGTTTCGTGCATTGTAGAATAAATCCAATATGATGTGCCATACAACAGCCCGAAGTAATTTACGAAGGTTTGTTGTATTCAAAAAGTTGTCTGTGGTAAAATGACTATAATATTAGACTCGACTGTGACTCCAAAAATGCTTTAGGTTCAAGCCCACAGTTCAGTGATAATGACATTAGTTGATCTATTGATTTATTGATGAGGGGTTTTTCTAAATAAAACCGCCTTGGTTGAATACTACGCGAACACTGATTTTATTGCTAAAGGAAATGTAATGAGCTAAAATTGTATGTTTGGGCAATAGTGTATTGCACAGTAAGTAAGCATGTGCGGTTGCCCGTACAGTCTGTAAGACATTGTCTTTACCGCTGGTGTCGTACTTAAGCAGGCTTACACGGTTTTTCTTTGATGTTATTAATATGTAATAGAGTTTTTACAATTTAAAGTGTTCCTATTAAAATAAATGTGACTGTCATTTAAATATTCATACCATGCTACCACGTAAAGTATAGGTATAATAGATCAGTAATCAATTTTCTATATGGGTTCGATCCTTAAATAAAAGAAATGAAAAATATAATGAGTTTAAAATAGATGACAATTTATTTATAACAGAACTTCTACATAATTACGAAACGAACATGAAATTAAATGAGATATAATGTTCATGGTTCCATAATTGTATACTCCGCTTTTACACTTTCTAAACGCTTTCTTCCTACTCCCAATTGAGTTTTGGAATTTTTTAAACATTGTTTCAGCATACCTCAATGTTATTCAATAAAATTTACGAAGTATGCTGATTAAGACAGGCCTGCGCGGGCGCCTCCTGCTGCATGTAGTATAGGGCGGGATGATTGACCGGCAGTTTCATCTCCGCGGCCACAAGTTCGAGTCTCGCTGCACGGAGACGTAACGCCCTCTCTGTCGCTCTCATTTCTCTAGCGATTGCTTCCTCTTGAATTTCTTCTTCTATCTTTTTTCTTTTCAACTGTAACAATTAAAACATATGTAAAATATGTACATGGTGTTCGGAATAACAATAGATTACAATTTTTGTTAGCCTATTGGAAGTTAGTAAATACTAAAAGTTACACGAAAATTGCATTTGACAACTGCGTCAAGTAATTCAAATCGATTACGCAGATTCTGAAATTAAAATAATAAATCAAAATTTCTGTAAACTTTGTGGCCTTGATACAGGATGCAACATGTAGGAAATCATATTATTCAAGATTTTGTAACATACATACAGAGTCAGTTTTATCTATGCTAATATTGTAAAGATATAAAGCTTGTGATGTTGTGTTGAGATGTTCGGGGTAATCTCTGGTATCACTGATCCCATTCTGAAAGCTCTTTTAGCGTGGCTTAGTCCATTTATCATGGAAGGCTAAAGCCTACATAACTTTAATATACAAACAATAGAAGCGCTGCAAAAAAGTGAGACAATGTGCCGCAGACGAATTTACTAAACAAAACAAAAACTATACTAGACTTAAAATTGTTTTGCTAGGTCTGATTGTTTGTTGCTAATATACATAGATAATGGTATGGTATTTTCATGATTTTACCATTTACAATATTAGTACTATCCCGGGTAATGGACACTACTACTATGATTACTTGCTACGCATCCATGGCTACTGTCCACAGTAGCCATAGATGCAGCAATGTAAGTAAGTTTTCAGCTAGAAATTGTTAGTAACGGTGAATAGTGAGCTCACTGCGAGCAATTTATCAAGTTAGGTACACCTCCGTGCGGTCCCCATAGAAAATCAACGTGGTTAATTCCTAGTGAATTTGTCACAATGAATATCTAACTTCATATTCATATTTCACCGATCGTTAATTGATAAAAAAAACTTACCTTCGCTGTTTCTAATTCGTAATTCAACAATTCCTTTTTTAATTCCAATATTTCTTTATTATCCAACATGTTATAAGATTCCATATTTCGTATTGATTCTGAAAGTAGAATTCAAATCTATTACTCTTTCTTATACACAATAAAATGATAAGATATATATAATTTTGAAATAGATGAGGTTCCTAGATATGTCACTCCTAGATCATTTTAGTATTATTTATTAAAACTTTGGCGAACAAAAGATATCGTTACGACTGTTATCCCAAATGGGGTAGTCAGTGGGATTGTTAACGATTTATTGATTGATTATGGTGAACGCAACACCTGATTTGCCGATATTTCCCTGGGTATTAAATACGTAGAATGTGGCCAGGGGACACCCTGCCGCCGATTCTGGTATTATTATTTAGTGAACAAATAAAATACAAATAATGATACACAGTGCGGACTTAACGATTTGTTAATTTATTTACAAGATGATAATGATATGTCGCTATCGGTATAAGTTAGCACTGGACCATTTGATTCACCACTGGTTGTCCAATATCATTACCAGTCAGTGGATCACCAGTAGTTGCTATTTCTAAAAATCACTTCCCAGCATACAGTGTTAGTATATAGGAACATAGGTAATTAAAAATAAATTATATTACCCATTCCCGAATCACTGTTGAGCACTGTACTAAGTGGATCAGGGGCCATGTCAACTGAATTTTCATTAACATTATTGGGAATTTCATTATAATCCATATCATCATTACTGTGTTCATCATCATTTTGTATTTGATCATTAATAATTTCGTAAACAGGCTCTGCTTTTATCTGAAAAGCAATTAAGTTAATATGAAAAATACTGGTATTTTTATTTATAACAATGGTTAAGTGGGAAAGAGTAAGTATTCAATATATTTTAAGACTACAATTGTTATTAATACCTTATCACTATTACATTCCTCCTCTAATTTAAAATGTTTTTTATTTATTTTGTCAAGATAACCATGTCTACGAATTCTGCTAGAAATTTTTTTCATGTTACAAAATTTTGTACGTAAGACTTTAGTTGTTCTTTTCTGTGGACTTTGTTGATTGTATGCTTCAGTTACCTGTAAAATTATTTAAATGAAGGTTAGGAATACAAATTATTAAGGTGACAGTAGGGTAAGGTCTTCATAGAAATAAGTCGGTTTACATAGTACAAAACAAAGTCTAACTGTCTCTATGCTTAAATATTTTTAATTACGAAAATGCAGTTTTCTGCAATAGATAGAGAGATTCAAGTGGAAGGTTTTATGCGTAATGCATCCATTATAGTACAGAAAGCCAAGATCGAGTCGAAACAATTGCGGAACATACAGAAGAAATAGTAAATTCATTAAATTCCCATGCTTCTTAGTAATCGAAATAGATAGATACCCAATAGGTACCCATGGCAAACGACATTTTACAGTCAAACTCAGGTAAATTTACCAGTAATCTTGATGTGGCAAATTTTATTTATATTTATGGAATTTTACTAAGTTTGTGACAGTAAAATTACTATTAAACAAGTTGAGTACTCCTCCTATTTCATGATAAAAAATGTTGTTTCTGTTTTACACCAACAATAATCATACAATACCTATATATATTACAAGATTTTAATTTTTATCACTGACAGTCACTCTTCTAACTTCTAATCAGATAAATTCCAAGAACACAATTGTCTAATTCAGTAGATCTAAAACTACTACATCTATACACAAATCACAATAATAATGAAATCCATGTTTACATACCCTTAACCAAGCCTTGTTTTTCAATTTAATAGCTTTTGCAGAGGTATCCTTACAAAAAATAACTTTTTTTTCTGCTCTTACACATTTTAGTAACAGTCTGCATTCATGGGGTGCAAACTTAATTGATCTATTTGAGCGAGATGTTCTGAAAATTTAAAGGTTACAATTGATTGTAGCTAATTGCAGTTTGTTTAGCCCAAATCAAGTTATTACAATATTGAGGTGTTATGAAACAGATTTTTACCCTTTATTTTCTTCGCTATCACCATCTGAAAAAGAAATAAACTATTATAGAAGAGGATGCAAGATAAACAATCTGTATGATTCTTAATTAATTTTATTATACTGTGTATTAAGCCAGCCAACACTTGGGAATTTATATATCTGCTTAACAATCTCATTATCAAATAACAGATGAGGGTATATATTCCTTATACATATCTTAGGGTATATATACCATAGACAATATAAATTTACACTATAAAAAAAACTTGTATAGGCATATTTTCAATATTACCTGTTCATTTATCAGATGCTTTATTATGGTTATCAGCTCAATATTTTATTTTCTTGTCATTCTTTATTGTATTTGTTACTTCTGTCTCTACAATTTAGTATTTTTATGTATGTATTAGACCTGACAAGCATCTGTGATTGGTGATTGTGATCTGAGCGGTTGCAGGGAATTTAGTAAAAAAAAATAATTAAAGTACCCTCAACATTCAACAATATTTCTCTATTGCTATACATATTATACAAAGAAGTAGTGCACACATAATGAATTGAAATGTGGCTATTATTATTAAGTATGAAAACACACATTAATATAATATATTGAGACATTGTCAAATAAATATATTTATTGACAGTACAAAAAATATGATACAATATACACAGCACACTGAATTAAAACATATTTCAATGTGAGTTAAAAGGTTTTATTTAATATTGTATTACTTATGCTTGTTTAACAAATATTTCATTGATGTCAAAAGGAGTGAAGAATGAAGATAAGCAGGTACTTAAATTTCAGTGTTAAAGTTTTATTCAAGACAATGTATGATCATCTTCACAAAGAGCTAGTAGAACGAATCAAATGCTGAAGAACTAACATTTGTGTCAGCAAGTAAAAGGATTAAGAAGATAAGTGTACATTTATTAAATATAGTATATGTTATAAAAGTAAGATTTGTATATTAGATAAACACTTCTTATTATTCTTTATATATTTTATTAGAAAGAATCTGTCACAATATACATATATAAAAAGTATCTATATCTTTTACCTTTTATTTCTTCAACAATCTCTTTTGGCATTTCTACTTCGCAGGTACTGTTCTCTGCATCATGTATCATCCTTAATATCTGATTTATTGCTTCACTGTGTTCACTCCGTTTGATGTCCAGTACATTTTTTGACAATTTCCTTGTCGTCTTTTTTAAATTCTCCCATTTAATTCTTAAGCAATCAACACTTCTCACATGATTGAAATTATGGCTATTATACGCCTTTGTTATTTTCCTCCAAATAATTTCTTTAGCATAACATGCAGTTGTACTTGGAGATTTATTCAAAACTATAAACTTATATTTATCAACCAAATTAACCAAAGTTTCGATTTCATTTTTAGTGAATGTAGGACTTCTATATCTTCTGCAAAAGCAAAATTTATATTCAGTTAAGGTTCAAACTTACCACGACAATAAAAAAATACTAGAAATAGGTGCCCTTACGAAAATAACGTTGATGATGAATTAAGTTCTTGATCGTCTTCGCTCATTTTACAGATTTATTTTAATAATACCTAACTTAGCAATAGAATAAAATTCCAATTGGCAAGATTGGTTTTCGACAGAAATACCCAGGATACACAGTTAATGTATAGGTAATTATTTAAGAGAGAACTTAACAATTGATAATATATATTTTTTATTAATTATAACTACAAGAAAAAAAATGTACAGTCATAGTAAAAATCATAATTTACAGGTAATGTTAGACACGAGAAAAGAGAAAATGTGTTTATATTACAATATAAACAAAATAAAAACATTTTAACATTTTCATAAAACTGAAGTATCAATCAAAGTGTAGTCATTCAGTCAGTTACCGGCCAATGCTGTCAGTCAATATTTTGGTAATATGTTTCATTCAATTCATAATTTAATCCGTGCTCCTTGTGTGTAGAGTTTTTGCCATTTTCTATTCCATCCATTACATATACATTCCATCTTCTATAAATCTCTTTAGTTGTTGATACGACACGATTGCAAATCCTTTTTCATTAGTCTTCCCCTTCGCTTCTTTCCTTCGATAATATTATTCATAAATTCGTCGCGTCGTATCAAACCTTCAATGAAGTTTTATGATGTATAAAAACCGCCTAAAATGAAGTAATAATAATCAGCCATAATAGGATCGAATCGTAAACTATATAGCCATTAGCCAACATTCATGGATATTGAGCTTGTGCTGTAATACAACATACACATACAATAATACGCACCAAAAAAATTATATGTCAAAGTCAAATTAAAATTCTAATGTCATTGTCATGTCATCAAAGATATAGGTTAGGTTATGACCTGAAAATGATAAATTATTTTCTATTCGTTTATAACACGAACGTTTCACTATAAGTATGTAAAAATAAAAATATAATTATGCAATGTTTTATACAATTAATATATTTAGAAAATAATTATATTTATTATTTCATAATTTTAATAGTTATTCCCTTGTTTCAACGTTAGGAAGAGGCCAGTCAGGCCACCAAAATGGCGATCTTTGTATAATATCCGTGTAAACAATTTTTATATTCTGGCACGCTTTGTTGAGTGGCTAAACTAGGCATAGTTTTTTTCTGGTAAATCGAATGTATTAATCTCGTGTTCATTAATTTAGTGCGATATGAAGGAAGCAGTACTAGCTATAATAACCTTCGTGTGTAGTGTATTTTTAGTTTTTGTCTTTGTAGTTTTTTGTAAGTAGCCCTATTTCAGTCTTAAAATGAGAGATTAAGTTACTAATATTGAATTATTCATGGCTATAAACCTCGTAATGTTTTATTGCCTTAGTAAAAGGATATGGTTCATGTTGTTTTCCTTTGTTTCAGGTTGGTACATTGTTTGGAAGTGTTGTTTGTCAAGATTCCGTTTTGTTCGGGAGCTCCTGGGTGGTACGTCAGATACTCCTCCAGCTTCTGAAATAAGGCAGCCAAATAAAACAAGGAAACTCAGAAGGGAATAATTCTAGTAGAAATCTCACAAACAAGGTAATTTTTGAAAATTTGTTGTATATTGTATAAAAAAACTTAGTAATATAATTAGTATCTGGGTGTTTACTGTAGTCATATGAATAATCATAACAAAAGAATTATTCTGCAATGGTTTTTTCTTTTTTGTCCCTTACATTCCTAAAAACCTTTGAAAACCAAGTAGAAAATGAAAACTGATAAACTAGTACAACAATTATTTTATCTTTTGACAAATATTTATTTTATGTCTACAATTTTTTAATAGTTTATGTAGTGTAATAATTATATTATATATATAGTAAATTTATTTAAAAAAATTCCAGGACAAAATGAATATTCGATGTGCGCGGCCTAGTGATCTTATGAACATGCAGCATTGTAATTTGCTATGTCTACCAGAAAACTATCAAATGAAGTATTACTTCTATCATGGGCTGTCATGGCCACAGCTCAGTTATGTAGCTGAAGATGAGAAGGGACGCATTGTTGGTATGAGTAACAACTGCATAATAATATTAATTTCTAATTACTACCTAATTTAATGTTACTACTTCAATTATTTTATATGAATTAATAGTTTGTATCAATTAATAGCATTGTTAATTAAGTTTTATTACACCACTATAATATTTAACTTTATTTAATATGTGTGTCATATGAGTCACAAGTACAGATTGGAAATGATGTCACAATAGCTAAAGATTTCTCAAGTGCTGTAGAGACTTTATTTATATAAAAGGTATATCTTTCATCATATCTTGTAACTGAATAAATTATGTATAATTTTCATAAATATGTGGAATATTTTTTTTTTAAATTAACAGAACAAAAGAATAAGAAAGTTATTGTGTTTGTGTCTTATTTATTTGTAAAATATAAATAAAAACTGATATCAATATTTTTTGTCAAATAAGCTTATTATTGAAAGACTAGATTACAGATAACATTAGCCCTTACAAAATATTTTGTTAAATATGATGACCACTTCCATTCTTACAGGTTATGTCTTGGCTAAAATGGAAGAAGATGGAGAAGATAATCGCCATGGACACATTACTTCACTAGCAGTGAAGCGTTCTCATCGTCGTCTTGGACTTGCACAAAAACTCATGAATCAGGCTTCATTAGCAATGGTGGAATGTTTCCAGGTCGTCTTTTTATTTTTTATAATATTTATTTTTATAGATGATTAGATATTTTATAGATGGTAGGTTAAAATGGTATCTGGCACATATTGTTAATGCTTACACCTGCATTAACAGTATTTGCTAGAGATGTAGACACCAGTTGAGGATGTTATGATAAGGATGAAGGTTAGTAGGTTAGACCATTGCTGTAAAATAAAACCATAATAGTATCCACAGGGGCCTTCATGGATATTGACCTGATGTGGTACATTTAGAGCAGTGCGCGACAAATTCCTTTATTGAAGGGAACTAGTCCCACATTGCTCTAGCTAGTGATCTAAAAGCTAGTTATAAATATTTAACTAGCCTATTATTGTCTCTAGTAAAAAATATCCTTAAATCCAAATACATATCTATATTTAATATGCCCAATTTCTTTATTAGTTATTAACTACTCGCCCTGGCTTAAGATACTCTATCTATTAACCGCTTCAAAATCTGTTGCATAGTTTTAAAGATTTGAGCATACATAGGGACAGACAGCAACAGCAACTTTATTTTTTATTATGTAATGAAGCTGTTGAGATTAGTATAACAAAAATAAACATCATATTCATATGTTATGATATTAATAAATAGAATAACTTAAGTACTTGTTTCTTTTTCAGGCTAAATATGTTTCACTGCATGTTAGAAAAAGTAACAGAGCTGCACTAAATCTGTATACAAATTCTCTTGGGTTCAAGATTCTTGAAATTGAACCTAAATACTATGCTGATGGGGAAGATGCCTACTCAATGATGCGTGATCTCAGTGCATTTTCTACAGAAACGAAATCTGATAATCAAACTGAGAATTTAGAAATTAAGTCTGAATCTACAATTATATCACAGTGTTGATAGATAAAATAAAGCATTTAAATTATAATTGTTGTTTTAAATACAAAACCCATAATTAATGAAGAAACTGAACTCTAGTCAGGATAATATTAATAGTATTACATATTATGAAGTAATATAATTTATTCTTCACTATTGTAACCAGTGTGTAATTCCTAGGATCTAATAGCTAACACCTTTAATTGGGTGGATCATACTAAGTTTATGTTAATGGTGTTATGATATCTGATGTTACAATAAAGAAGCTAACAGAATATTCTAATGCAAATCTTAAGTACATTCGAATTGAATTACTCTGTTGGCTACTACTTTACTATTATATCTTTCGAATTTAGTTGGTTTGATACACATTTAAACTCAATTAAAATAATTGATACACATTTAAACTCAACTTTTTGGTTTAAAATGTAAACTTTTTACCTATTTAAATGTCATTCAGTAACAAGTATGTAAATATTAGTAATTTTCAGATTATAATAGTAGGATTTGTGAAAATAAAAAAAGAATGTATGGTTTATAAAATAATATTATATTGACTGAATTCTTTAACTATGAGTCTTCATCATCTTCATAGAGATGGTTCAGCTTTAATTCTATCTTCTTATCTGTATTAACTTGTGAAGCCCTTCGTACAACTTTTTCCTTTTTTTCTCTTTTACCAGAGACACCCACAACATATTCTGGCATAACAATCTTATTGCCTTTAAATATAGCTTTCTCATTTTCTGATTTTAAAGCCTTCTTCACAGTAATAGAGCTATGAAATATAGGCTTCTTGAAAACAACATCTGAACTTTCTTCATCACATTCCATATCAGTTTTGTTATCTTCTTCCAATTTTTGTATTAATGCAAGTGCAGTAGCAGTATTTGTTGCATCTGACATCTGTTCCGGTGTAACATCTGACAACGAGTAATAAACCCATTTATTTGGATTCTTTATGTAGTCTGGGATAGATTTTGCTCTTAAACATTCACGGATATTTGCTTCTTGTCTTTTATATATACTTTCCTTACCCCTGAATTGTTTCATTTGGTGTTTCAGTTTCTTGTAGGTTTGTTTGTCTATTTCATTATAACTAGGTGAATCAGTAGCTTTATTTGTTTTCGAAAAACTGTATTGATCTTCAGCATCTTTTAGAAGATTAAAAAGATTTTTTTGTCTTTCATGGAAAGACGACATTATTGGTGATTAATTGAATATTGTAATTTACACACAAATTTGTTGATTTTTATCTTAAAATTTTCTTCCTTGTATCTCGATGTAGTTCGCAGAGAACGGATATTATCTTATGTTCTCTTTTCATAGAACAATAAAAAAGTAAATATCAAAATGTACATCACCAAGTACAAAGCGACATTATAACTTACTCAACAAAGTACTCTTTGTACTTTATAAATACGAAAGTCTCAAACTAAACACTAAAGCTAGTTATTGTTGTTATTGAAATGAACAATTTAGATGGAATAGAAAAGCATTTCAAGCCTGAATAAAGTATGTATATAATAATAATATGTTTATTTTTGTTATGTCAAAATTTACTTTCTAGTCTTTTTTTAGTTCGAATTTTACGGCTCAGTTGAAGGCAAAAGGACTAAGCCCATACAGCCTTTGTCTTCAGTAGAATTATTAAATTCTACCAATATAGTTATAGTATAGGTATAGTTCAATTAAAAATGTTAGACTATTTACTCAAATAGTCTAACATTTTTAATTGAACTATATAAAAACATTAATTGAACTAACTATATTCTTAACTTTGTTAACTATCAGATACTGTCAAATCAGAAGTGGTACAGTCGCAGGTCAATTAATACCAAATCAGCAATTTTTACACTATATCTGCTCTTTAAAATGCTTAAACTCTATTCGTATGAATTGTTGTTATGTAATATGAAACTAATGGTAAAACAATAAAGTTTATTTTTTAAACAATCGCATAATTTAGTATATTAAGGAAACAAATTATCTTGTGAAATATCGCTATAAAGGTTCCTGTCTTTTTCCCACAGTCATAATATCATGAAGAGATAAAGAGACTCATAATAAAACAGTCCTTAATAAGAAAGGAGTCTTATTATGCGTCTCTTTTAAATTTTACTTATAAAAACTTCCACAAATAGATTAAAATAGTCTGTCTAGACGTACATTACATCAATTTATGAATGACTAGAAAATAATTTTTTAAAAAAAATATTTTGAGTAGACTACTAACTTCAATAGTTATACATATTTATCTTTTTCAATCTACCGCTCATTCAGAAAACTGTCTCATCACAAGAAGCACGAACAAAAACTTGAGTTGTCTTAAACAATTCACGTTGTTGTTCATGACTTCCTTATTTACCAAAATATAAAATCAGCGGTTTGATTTGATAATACTATTCAATCGTTCCGTATTTTAAACAAATTAAATTAATATTTTGATTTATTTAAAATTCGGAACGTTTGAATAGTATTGATTTACGATAGAATTGATTCGGAAACAGAGTGATTACTTGCTCATTGTTGTAATGTTCGTAACCTAAATATAGATATATAATATATGTACTTATTGTTTAGTAGTTTTTAACGCGGCTTTGCTCGCATTGAATCCATTAAATAAGTATCGGAGATCATTACATTAGAAATGAATCAATATGATGACTATACCTACTTTATTGTACCTAATCACAAAAATAAAAATAGCGTTGGTATGGTCTGTGAGGGATAAAAGAAAATAACTATGAATATATAATTTATAACTTCATTACTGGCTGCTAGATGGCGCTGAAGTAGCAAAATGTTGATGTATATGATTTATGTTATGTTTTTACGAAAATATTTGTTTTTGTTTTTAATAAAAATTATCCTATGTTCATTCTAATATTTCCAAAGACTTGGTACAAAATTTCATGATGATCGGTTCAGTAGTGTTTGCGTGAAAGTGTAACAAACTTGCCTATATTAGTAAGGATATATCGTTGATGATAGAGTGTCGTATAATAAAAAGAAATATCAAATTCGAAATAAAACTTTACATGCAAGTCGTTTGACGACTTTGGTGAGCATCGTATAATGAAATTAATGCCCTACAATAAAAACATCTTTAGAGTATTATGTTCCTTGTTGAGAACGTACCGAATAAATTGTTATATTATACCTATTTGAAAACTTCATGATTGGTAGTGAACAAGGAAAATATGAACACATAATGAACTAAAACTAATACAAATCTTTTTCGAGATTAGCTAATCCACCTGGTAAATAATTCTATAGATACTTTAATGCCATACCCTTGGACTCCATTACTCAAAGAAGCTTACAACAAACATTGATAAAATTACCTACATGATGAAACTCCTCTGTTACGCATGGGATTTAAACATGCGAGATACTATTTAATGTTAACCTCATACTATTTTTCAAAATGAGATAAAAATTGTATTTAAAAACGTACCTACATTAACATCTGCGTAAACTTCACTATCTTGTTTACTGAGAGCATTTTGTCTCCAAGTACTCGTGATAAAAATTAAACTTAGTTAGTTCTCCATGACTCGTGTTTGCCACAAATCTCACGTATAGTAAGAACCGTCCAATAAATGCCGTAACCAAAGTACCTATTCAGAGAAACTATTATTAAAAACAACATTTACAAATAATGCCTGATGCAAACGGTAAATTATACATAAATATCTACAACAGAGTAAAGATCTAGAGATAAAGACTAAGTCTGTATATTAAAAAAATAGAACACGTTCTTATATTTGCCTGTTTGTAGTTTTGTGCACACTAATCTTAGATACGATTTAAGCGATGTGAATGCGATTTTCACAAATGTATTTTAGCAAGTACATTTACAATTTTTGTTAATTCCAATCGGTTAACCAATAAAGAAGTTATAATGACGAAAGAAAGTTAACATATTGTGGCGAAATCATCTGGAAAGATGGTCGACCTGACACGGTATATTTGCTTTCAATGGGTTTATTTCTTCCCATTTCTAACTAAACCCTCCCCATTTATTAAGCATTGTTATGTTTCCCAAATATACACTATATTTATGTTTCTTTAATATACTAATTATTAATTTATTACGTTATTCAGCCTCGGGTCAGACGAGACATGACCGGAAACGGGAACTACTTAAGGCCACCCGTTATTATTGTGATACTTAACTATACCGAATCTTTCTATAGTGAGTTAAAATAAGTAAAAGGTCTAATAAGCATACAGATTAAAACCTCGAAATGAACAATTGCTGGCCCGTGCCACTGTTATGTAAATATAATATAATTTGTTTGCGCGTGAGTCATCGGCTCGCGAGTTGCACGCGACAATGACATAAGTACGTTGGTAATAAATACATATGTTATACTTTTTTTACTAATTTGAGTATCATAGCTGTACTAAAAAACTTGTAGTATAAGAAACCAGTAAGAAATACGGTGCCGATATCAAAATGGTGGGACGCACCCTAAATTGTTGTCAATTTAAATTTCAATATTGAAATTTAAATTGACTAAAATTCAATATCGATTAAAATAAAACCGACTCAGCTGTATAGGTAAGGTAGTTAAGTAGGTACAAATCTATAATTAAACTCTTGAAACACGTACCGTAGTTAAGTACGTATTGTAATTATTTGTTAAATTTGCTCTCTACTTTAGCGACTGCTATGAAGTAATTTAACTTATGGGGTAATTATTTATGTTATTTAACAATAAGTATCTACGCACTGTGTTATATTACTTGTATTTGGAGCACGTACTAGAATGGTAATAAGTCGCACTAGGCAGGAAATAAATAGCTGTGGCTTCATTCATTCCAAAACCAGGGTCAAATCTGTTATTGTTATTTGAGCAATATGAAAATAAAAGCATTTAATATATAATATTTACATATAATATAATACTCACAATATTACTATATTGTGAGTATTATATTCACAGAGCACATGATTCATTTACAAACAAATTTTACTAATTAGATATAAGTATGATTGATTGATCAATTTGATATCACTGGTATGACAGGTGTACTATGTATATCACTGTGTAAACTTACATTTAATAATTTTGCATACAAAGTAATTTAGCTCAATTATCAAATATAATAAAATCATCAAATAGGTACATTTCAATATCAGACAAAAATAAAGTTTATTTTTAAATTGCCTATTTTTATTTATTTATATTTTTGATTTGTGATAAGTGATAACTATATATTTATTTACCTAAAAATTAACGAATTTTTAACCGAATTAAAATTTAAGGACTACAAATATAACTAAGTTAGGTTTAGAGTAATCTTGTCACTAGATCAGTGACAAGATTACTCTAAACCTAACTTAGTTATATTTATTATCATAAATACATATCTACTTATCACTGTTTTATTTTAATTGATTTGTAATATATTCAAAACGAATTGTATCCTACATGAATTGGTGTTTGGTTGTTAATAATAAATATATGAATTAGAAATCTCTAATGAAATTGTTATTTAGTTACTGTTATTGTTGCGTATAAATGGTGTGAATTCATCGGGTCAATGAATATGTATAATTTTTTTTTTACTAAAAAAAAAATAGTGTAATAGGTGCACGTGCACTGAAGGACACATGTCTGATATAATCCGCAAATCCATTCAGCTGACACTAAACCCGGTTTACATTAAGGTGTATGATAAGGTCATAAATGAATCTTACAGTATTGTGTAGTTAAGTAGGGACACGCACGTGGTGTTATGTTATCATTTTTTGTCCTCTACATTTTACGCATTTTACCTTCCAGCTTAGAATAAAAATTACGAATAGTTATGGACAAGATATTTTATTGAAAGAAAAATGTTTAATTTGTAAAGGAAACAAAAACCGTATAATGGTTCGTATGTTTAAATAAACTGGCTTTAAAAAAAAAGAAATCAATACAGTTTCTTGCCAGTTCTTCTCAATTGAAACTGTATACTGAATGGGTAGCGGTCTAATGTCCTACATGAATAAATTATTTTTGATTTGATTTAATACGATTTCTTAACTTAAACGAAAGTGACATCGTTTTAATTAAGTTAATTACAAGACATTTCAATAACTAATTTACGCATATGGGTATCATACTATATATTTTAGTTGATTATATTATACTTAGGTAATACTTTATAACAGTACAGATAAGATGAAATACAAATACATATAGAGTAAGTATAGGAAATAAATTCTGACAAATGAAGTACTTAATTTATTTCTATTTTACGAAGATTTTAAAGTAGAATAAATAGGAAGTTAAGTATGTATTCATTATATTTCCCTGTGATGAGTTTTTTTTAACAAAATACAGACAAGATAAAAGCATAATTACAGTATAAGCTTAACCTGCACCTACATGTTATATTGTGTATGTATTACATTACATCAATATAACATGCAGTATCAAATCAACTTGATGACATCACCAATGTCAATCAAAAATTACCTACAATTATACCTAAAATGTATAATTCCTACTCTGACATCATAGATTTGATTAAAAAACCCTTATAGCGATAACCTTTCTAGATATGTACCTACTGAACTGAAGCAGCTATTGTATATTTAGCGGTAGACGCGCATGCGCCGGCACAACTCCGATAGTCACAACAGTGACCACTTATCAATTCAGGGTTTGGCAGAGCTAACGTACGTACCTACTCACGCCCGCGTGAAAATTTATAAGCGGCGGGAAAATGGCTCCGCGACGCGCAGTTTGAATTAAGGCGGGCGGCGCGCGCCGGTCGCCCGGGCACCAGCCACCTACAATGTCTCCCATATTATTATTGACAACACCACGCCTGTGGTAACAAGTACATTTTGCAGGAGGTAGTGAAGTGTTTAACAGCTGATCGTGTTAGTGAAATGTGAACGGGCTTCAACAACAGGTAGGTCGTGCAATTTTTTAACGATGACCATACGATATTTTCGCTGTGTCTTTGTGATTTACTGAAAGCGACTGATCCTTCATTTGCTTATATTTAGAATATTTATTTTTATATCCACAATGTTGTGAATCGAAGCTTGAATTTTTTAACTTTCATTTTAGCAATTTAATGGAAAATAATATAGAGTGATTAAATGTTAATTATATATATCTTTCTTTTATCTTCTATACAATTTATGCATCTAAATTTCTGTTCTATACCTGTAATGTCCCCCAAGAAGTAAATCTTTAGCTCTGATAGTAGGAAGGTATACGTGAGATAGACATATTAAAATGGAAAGCAAAATAAACCTATGAAATACAATGCAGTAAAATAATTATTTAATTTTAACAATCTTTTTGTATTTCATAACTATTTAACGCATTTTAATGCAACTCGAAATTTCCAATGGAAATGTCGGAGAAAAGTGGCAACTCTGCTACGACGCAATACTGACTATTATATACCTATATAATATTGAATGTTACAGATACATAAGAAATATTACATATAACATGTAATATTTCTCTCAGCTGGCGTCTTGTCTTGTATTCTTAAATATTTCTATCCAACACGATCCTCTGTAATACATTTTTAATTGATTACAAAAAATAAGCAAATTCTATTCTAGATTTTATATGTAGTTTGTAAGTGTAGTAGTTACTTGGAATATTTTGTCATTTCATCTACGATTATAAGTAATTAGTTTTTCAAGGATTTTAAGTAAATTAAACACTTACATTTTAATTAACGTCTTATTTAATAATCCGGTTAATAAATATCTTAATAAATTGTAGAACATCTGAATAAATATTAATTAGTTATAGTTGTATGATACATGTGGAAGTATACCTACATTTTAAAAATTAAAAAAAATCGACATTTTCCAAGGAATATTTTATAGTCATACAATATTTGTTAGTCATAATTAATTATTAACAGTTCACGTCTGCAATTCAACTTATTGAACGTTTAGATATTAAAATTTGTACAAGTAAATACATGTAAACAATGAAATAGGTGTTTATGTTGTACGGTAGGTAGGTAAGTAGTGTTTGTCTATATATTATTATATGTTTGTATGAATATATGTTTCTCCTTATTAGACGAGTTAAATGGAGTTTTCCTCTATACTAATGTATTTTTACTAATCACATTAGAGGGTTGTAAATATAACATTGAAAAAAATCAAAACGTGACATATGTAATTAATATTCAACATCACGTTAGAATAATAAAAGAAACATGAAATATAACACCGATTGCATAATACGAAACTTGTCATATAAAAAATAGAGACAGTAGGGTAGGTGAACTGGCCTTCTAGATAACCCTATCTCAATCAATAACCTGTATTTAGAAGTGACGGCCCTGGTATAGAAAATCTTTGGTATAAAATGCTATGCTCTATATATATATATATATAGAGCATAGCATTTTATATATGTATTGAAATAAAAATAAAATTTTATAGAGAAATAGTCAGAGCGATTATACTGTTTTACTAGAAGTGATCTACTTAAACTAAAAAAATGTATGTAACTGTTTAAGTATAACTATAGAAGACAATTTCATAATTCTCTTTACAGTTAATATGTATACCTCGTATATGATAAAATCTAATATTAAGATTGTTGTATACATTCACTAATGTCACTATTTAATAATTGTTAGTCGTTTTTGTGAAACAAAATATACTAAAAATGAAAGAGTTCGTTAAATTGTATTATGTACTCATATTACATACAAAATTACAATTTAACCTCGAAATGCGTACCTAATAGACATCAACTAGCGAGTGTAACTCGTTTTCGCAAATGCTCTTTGATAACGTTTGAATAAATTAAATTAATTAAACATCTTGGTTAATATGGTTCATTAGTAATATACCTATCTATTGTGTTGATCATAGAAGGTATAATAAATATATAATAATAAATAATAGATAACATTGTAATAAAAAATATTAATTAGAATAATTAATTAATATATAAACTTATTATGTTAACCAAAATTTGTTATCTGTTTATATTGTGTAATAATTTAGTTAGTAGATAGCCACACAAAATGAATTTGTCATATGACAGTATTATCATTTTATCTTCCGTTTTCTGCTCGTTTCCATACTGCCTAGGAATAAATTATTTTATTTAGCTAAATTACTATTATCAAAAGGAAAGTATACTTTTTAATGGATAAATGCAAAAACATTTTAAGGGTCTCTAAAAATTCTATTATACCCATATAAATCTACATTATGAATTATTAACATAGGCGGAATATATGTACAACGAAAATTAAATATGTCTGTAATAAGTTTTGATATTAAATACATTCGTCATTATCATAAACTCCACATTAATATTCGACACTTGCAGCAAAACTAACTTCAGCAGTTCATGCTGTGCGCATGTAAGACAATAGACTAATACCTACTGCTAACATTGCATACTCTATTTCTTTCATTACATGCAGACATTTGTATACTTTATTGCTGTAAAAAAATATGAAATGTATTTATAGTCAATAAAAGAAGCCTACTTCCTCAATTTCGAGTTTCTAGCCCCAGTTCAAGATTAGTCAGGAGACTGTATATAAAAAATATGCATTGAACCTATATCATATTCCTCAATAAGTATAGGTACCTACGTACATCCACAATTTACCTTCCTTAGGTGAAGGATATTTTACAGTAAAATAATCATAGTAGTTATTTTACTGTAAAATATCCTACTTACATTAAACAAACAAATGGAATACCATAAACACCTGGTTCGTGGTCCTGAGGATAATCTGATTAGTCAACGTCATATTTTTAAACTGTTTACTCATTTTTGGCTCTGTGCCAAAGTCTGAGTTTGTACCGTTCTTTTGATTCATTTCTATAATTTCAAATCCTTTCGAAATATGTGTTACATAAAAGAAAACTTCTGGTGACCTTGAAGCTTTGGCTTGAGAAAAATCTAATTAGTTACCAAAAGTCAAATAATATATTCGAAGTGAACAAGTAATCATCTCTTTTAAATACATTTCTAAAAAAAAGCATATTTGTAAAGTAAGCACGTAACGTTTATTTAGCCACCATTCCTGTAAATGTTTCCATGTAGGTAGTATTTGAAAGGCACTAATTCAGATTAATTTCTAGTTAAATACTTCATTTGCAATTAATTTTTCAAACATTGTTTTACTAATCACCAAATTTTTTAATACTTCCACAGATTAAATTTATTATAGATAAAATTTAAATTTTAGAAGTTCAGTTCTTCAATTATGAAAGCAAGATAATTTCTTTAGTATAGATATTTATTATTGTTTTAAAGTCATTGTGTCAATGTCAATTAATTACTTGTTACAAGAACAAAACCGCAAAGTATTGATAGGTAATATAAAAATATTGTTCCAGCTCGGGTTTAGCGATAACTTCTAATAATAGCTATATTTTATCAGCTGTTTAGTCACTTTATTGAGTGGCTAGTATAGGTTTGTCAGGAAATCTTATATCATTTTAAGCTTTATATATTTATGTAGATAGATATTTGAAGAATTTAGTTCCTTATTTTGTTGATATAGAACTCCCTTATACAGTGACCACAAGCTTTTTCTAATATGTAAATAATTTTGATTCCCTTTATAAATAAGTATTATATTAATAATATATATAATATACATTAAACCCATATAATTATATAGATATCAATTCATGTGTTGCACTATTACAGAAATTGTTTTAAAATACGTGTGTTCTCATATTCGGTAACCATGATTATGGAACAGGAAGAGAACACAATTATTCCAATTAATTTTTGTAGAGCTAATTAGCTATGTTGGTAAAATGATATATATGAATAGTATGGAAATGTGGTATCCATCTTAATGTCAATACTAATATTTTTTAAAGAGTCTGTTTGGTGAATCATGATATTAATTAGGAACTGATGGTTTGAATTAGAATAACCTCTCTTTTAACGATTAACGAAGCTATAGTATTACATACGCATCAAATAAAAGCAGAGCTTCAACGAAAAACAATGGTCGGCCTGTATGGGGTTTTTCAAGAAGGGTATATTAAGGTATCTTAAGAATCGTCGTCGAATAAGTAGTTTCAGGCGTCTATGAGCTACGGTAACCGTTTACCACCAGATAAATGGAGACCGTATAGTTGTTTGTCACTCGTAGTATAAAAAAAGTTTTTTTCAGAAGTAGGAGTCGTATATTGGATAATTACAGAAATTTAGATCAAAATACTCTTAGACAAAGTAACTTATTATTTTTAACTATTATTATTACTGTTATCATTGAATTACTTATTTAAATATATTAATAATGAATATACGACACTTAGAGAATTATAATACCGTATCTATGTACCGAAGAAAGACACTGTATTTTGCAATATCCATAGTGCTGTGTATGTAATACGTATGTTAGAAATTGTAGCTTCTGTAGATAGTAATATAATTATTATCACTATTAGTTGGTAGCTACGTACGTACATCATATATGATAGTAGTCGTAATGGTTAAAAATATCCAGACACTTATTTTAATGAAAAGTTTTACATCAATAAATAAATAACCCCGGACAATTAATACAGTGCCATCTAGTCCCACGGTAAGACATCCCTAGAGCTTGTGTTATGGGCATTAGACAACTGATATAAATACTTCGATATTTTTTTTGTAAATACATACATAATATACATAGATAACAACCGGACCTATACAATCATACTCATAAATAGAAATGTTTGCACCGTGCGAGGAATCGAACCCGCGACCATCGGAAGTAAGACGGTTAGCATGCCGCTAGACCACCGAGGCCACGTGTTAAGTTCGTATGATTCATAAACAGCTACGCAGCTACATAAGAACTACGATTTAGGTACCTATTGATACGTAGTCAATATTCCATATTCTTCGTCATGGCGATCCAATGGAAACTTAATAGGTATGCATAATGGA